GGGGGGGGACGACATTTTTTCACCAGGCCACTCTCGTGTTTTATTCGAAGGGGTGGTGCGAACATCTTGGCTTCCTCTGTACATTGTTTCCACTCTGTAAGCAGTTACGTATATGTGCACTGATAATGAGCTGTAACTTCTTTTGCATCTGACAATGAAAAGGGAAATTTAAAAACAATAGTAGCACACTAAACTTTGAAACATTTATTATATTCACAAATCCTTTTAAGTCAAATAGTATCATACGTAAGCCATGTGTTGAAGGATAATCATGTTTCCCAATAATCCAATGAATCAAAAATAAGAAAAAGTAATACAAGCTTACAATAGCTTTCCAAATAAAAATCGGTGCATTTCATCAATTTTAGCTCTTTTTCGACCTAACATTTCCATGACAAGAGTATTCAAAATAAAACAGCCACACCTGAAGATGGAGTATCAAAAATACTAAAGACATACATCATCAACATCACCATAATTATAAAAATTATTATCATAATAATAATAATAAATAGTTGCAATGCGTTTATACGGACTTGCACTCATTGATTATATCACGTCGGCGTTAAGCCTGGCGAAAACAAGTTCCAAATAATGATGCTTAACCGGGCACACCTCAAAATTCAACAGGGCGGAAAGAAGCATCCTCCACAAAGCGCATGCGCAGATTGAAGCCCACTCGGCAGTTGGTGAATTGGGTTCATCAGACCCAAAGCTCTGGAATATTTTTAAAATGGTCCTACAACATAGCACTGACATAGTCAACAACATAGTCATTCATAGCACTGGTCAACTTATTGAAGCTAGATGAATGAATGAATGAATAAGTGAATGAATGAATATAACAAAGAAAAAAAAACAATTGACAGACTGTCATTGCCTTGTTGGCCATGTTAGCATTGAAGTGTACGTATACACTTATAGTGAGGCCATTAACATTATTCATGTCTAAAACACAAAGAATTCAAAATTTGTAAGAATACCAATGGATATAAAATATATATATAGTTCCTTGAATTTAAAAGAGAATATTTTCCATAATTATACACTATTTACCATTAGTATGTAATTACACTGCAATCACATAATATAAGCATGAGTATACAATGGGAACTAATACTTAGACGAATAGTCGCACGTAACGCCTTCACGACACAAAACTTTAGCCACCCACCTCATCTGCTGGTCCATTTGAGCTTTCTCGATTCTCTTGTCTTTGGCGCGTCTATTTTGAAACCATATTTTAATCTGCGTCTCAGTAAGGCTCAGCAACTCCGCTAGCTCGAAGCGTCTAGGGCGCGTGATGTATTCCGTGCGGTGGTATTCTAGTTCAAGCTTGAGCGTCTGCTCGCTCGTAAACGTCGTCCTCTGTCTTCTTTGACGGTTCTCTTTTCTGCGTCG